AAAAAACGCGCATCCAGTGCACCTGCCCCAGCCCAACCCGCATGCGTGGGCGCATGCGTGCGCATCTGCGCTTCGACCGGCACATAGCGCAGAGCACACACGCATGTGCAGCACAGCGCGCACCGGTGCCGTGCACCGCAAGTATGACCTACACAAGAAAAGGGCTGAAGAAACCAGTCCATGACTTAACATGAGTAAAATACTACCTTCAATTCGTTGTATATTCAATAGAAAAACTTTTTGGTCTGTTTTGTAACTTTTGTTTATCTAGATGACATGATGGGTGAATTATTTGCTTTATTCGTATAACTTCAGCTGCTGCAGAATCTGCTATTGGGCTCGCTATTCTTGTTATTACTTTTCGAATTTGTGGCACTATTGATTTCTGTCTTGCATGTATAGATTAAAAAGAAAAGCATGGTGACCACTGCCGATAAGCCCTGTTTTTTCTCGTTCACTGGCTGAGAGTATTGCATGCTGCCTTCCTTTTTTCCCTTCCTTTTTCAGCACTTTCTTTCTTTTCTTTTTTTTCTCAAGTGCTGTGGCATTGTATCACTGTGATCATATTCACGTTTTCTTGTGCTGTCAGTGCATTACTTTCTTCTTTTCCCCCCTTTTCGCTTTCCCTTTTGTCTTCTCTTTTTTTTTTTCAGAAGGGTGCCAGCCATGAGATATCATCGTGAAACTGATCGGCCCTAGGTAATTCAGGAATTTCGTTCACCTGGTTCCATAACTCATGCATTTCAACAGTTTATGGGTGTACAAACTGAGCTAAGCCCGTTGGTCCGTGCATTACCTTCTGCAGATGCTGACCACACATTACTACACATTGTTTGATGGGCTGGACGAGATGTTCCCCTACATGGAGGGTTTATATCAGGAGGACTCTGTTCTCGGGTACGTAGCTTTCATCAACCAGGCATATGATTTTGTATTCAGTATTCGTCTTTTTGTGAACCGCTGTTCAGCCTTCAGGCACGTGCATCATTGGGTATGAGCTCATCGTGTCTGATGAAGAGATTTTGAGTTATGAAGATCGGGGCGGGTTATGTGCACTTGACTACTGTCTTCACCCAAATAGAACACGGGTCATTTTTTAGCTGTATCTGGTGAACGACTACAAGTGGGCGTTCTATTCGGGTGAAGATGGTATTGTCAGGAGGCTTTATCGGAATATGAAGTACTATGAACCATGTCGAATCCATTTCTTTAAAACAGGACCTACTGGCTCCATGCACTCTTGATGAGTCATTACCTTCACTCCCCCTTCCCTACCCCCCCC